CCCGGGGGGACAAGTGGCAGTGAGGGTCACCCCAAGAGCTGTTGGGGGCTCCATCCTTGCGGATCTTCAAAAGCCAGGCAGGTCCTGGCAGCCGCTGTCGGTGGTCCTTAGGTGACCCCTCGCTGCAGATATTCCAGAACCACATGGGCACAATCTTTTGCCATGTTTTTTGGGATGATCCTGCTTGAGCAGGGAGATTGGACCAGATTACCACTGTAGTACCTTTCCAGCTTGACTCATTCTGTGATTCTGCGGTTCTGTCATACGTGATCAGGGGGACTGGAGAAGCTGGCCTCCAGAGATCCATTTCAGTGGCAGCCACTCTGCCATCGTGCATGTCCAGGGAAGGAGAGGCCAGCTTCCACAGTGCCAGAAGTTCAAAGCATTCTGCTTTATGTCCAGACAACAGCAAGGTAGCACACCAACAGAAAGAAGAAATACCAGCACTAAACATGTAACCTGTGCAGCCTGTGCTGGTGTTTCCAATTCAAACCTTACCCTCAGACTGCAGCAGGAACATTTTCTTCAAATAAAGAAACAATCACAGAATCCCTTAGGTTGGAAAGGACCTCTGAGAGCAACCTCCGACCAAACACCACCGTGTCAATTAGAACATGCCACTAAGTGCTACATCCTGTCTTTTCTAGAACACCTTCAGGAATAGTGATTCTACCATCTCCCTGGGCAGTCCATTCCAATGTTTAACAACCTTTTCTATGAAGAAATTTCTCCTAATGCCCAACCTGACCTTCCTGTGGGTCAGTTTGAGACTAGAGCAAAGTAATGATTTCAAATATTACTGGACAGAGGCCACTGTACTGTTTCAGTTCTTCGACTTCCACTGCAGTTCCATAAATGGCAATGGCATTTTTACAGAGATCACTATAAATTGCTTAGAGATTGTCAAGTCATTGATCTCTGGTCACTAAACAGTTGCCAGGTAAGAAACCTGAATCATTAGCACTATAAGTTATTTTCCATGTCTTAGTTAGGAAACAAATTAATAGCCAAGTGTTAGAGCGTTTGAGCTATTCAGTATTGGATGTCAGTACTTGCTGTCTTGCTTTATTCAGAAAAAATAAGAAATGGCATTCTACATTTTGCTTTTTCTTATCCACAGCTGTCTGCATCTTTGTTTTTGTTTTCTGCTGAGAAGTATGTTCAGTTAAAGCAAAAATACAGGCTACAGCAACATTTCCTGCTCTGTTGTTTTGTGCTGGCTACTACCACAGCCCTTTGATTCAGAGGGTTTGGTTGCTCTTGGAAATGCAGATGTTCCATTTCAGCAACCACAGTCCGAAGAGAACATTTCTGCAAGCTACAGGGTGTAGGCTTGGGATCATTTCATATATGAAGCAGTAAGTAATTTCTAAAATACACAGAAAATGTTTCTTGCAATCTTCATCTCAAGCAAGATGGAAATCATCACTAGAGGTACAGAGCCTAATTCACAGTGCTCTTGATATAGGTATTAGGGATGATGCCAGGCCTGAGCAGGGTGATTTGAGGCACCTAGCTGAAAATAATGCAAAATTCATGAGCCTGTAATAGTGTATGGAAGAGGAAGCCTGATTCTGCAGCTTAGTGGGCAGGATCACCACTGTGATCAACAGATGCCACTTATGTGTTTTATCCAATGTCTGTGGAAAAACTTACAGGTACTCTTGGAAATGCAAAACGCCTTGCATCCTCTCCAGATGTCCCTGAAACAAAGCTACATGGCTCTTGCTCTGTTGCTCTGTCTTGCTCTTTGCCCTTTTTTTTTTTTTTTTGCAGTGGCCCAGATTCAACACAGAAAGTAGAGAGAAGCACCATCCCATTGCTTGGCAACTTGGAGAATTCACAGAGATGAGAGCTGGGCATCAGACGGGCCCAGCCTCACATGTTTATTTGCCAGTGAAGGAGCAGTACACCTGAAACTTCTGTCTCTGAAGCAATACACCTGAGAACTTCTACCAGTGTTTGTGGTGAGCAAAACTGCTGTGTTTGTGTTCATCTGCGTGCAAACTCTCTGTGTTTCAAACATGTCTGTCAGACTGGGCTTTTCTCACAACTGTGGTGGACTAAAAGTGCTTGTCTGTCTGTCTCAAATAGAATAGAATTTGTGTGGGAGGTACTCATGCAGCTGTCTAGGAAACTCTGAGCACTGCTTTGAAACTGTAAAAGGCAGGCTTTGGCTACCAGCATCAAAAAGCATAATAGATTCTAATTTTTAAAAGCAGGTATGGGTTAAGTGTCCAGTGTGATAAAGTACTCACGTTGTAACATGAGAGTGTAATGTAATAGTTTTTAATCCAGAGAACACTCATTCACATGCTGGGATCTTAAAGCCCATTTTCACTTACTCCAGTCAGACTATTTGTGTCGATATGATTAGGAACTTACATATTTCTGGCATTGGCCCCTTAGAAATCATAGGAATCCCCATCCTACACAACCAGCTACTGCATTGAACTTTTGAACATTGAATTGTTTTATCTTCTTGATAAATAAACTAAAAATGGGTCATTTCTTCTTGTTGCTTTTGTTATGTCACATTTTGGATTGAACTAGGTTTTGTTGAGTGAGATAGGAATTATTCGACGTATACATGACCTGAAAACACTGAGCTGATAAAACATGGAAACCTAAAGGATCATTTTTTCTCTCTTCAAAACCATGTCATCTCTAATTCTTGAAAGTGTTTCTAAGTAAGTTGATGTCCATACAAAGTAAACTAACAAGCTGATAATCCTAATAAAACCAAAACCAAACCCATATCCATATTCTCTTGTTTTATAAGATATTTAAATGTTCTTGCTTCTTCTGTGCTACAAATTGACACTGACTTAAGAACTGATTGTTTGGCAGAGACTGAAATTTCTTATTAAATACAGAATATCAGTAAACTGTCAAATGACTGCATTGGCTTCCTCTAAACCATAATAAAATACTTATAAAAAGTACAAGTAATAGTGTTTATTTTGCAAATAACATTCTTGTACATGAGAGTAATAAAACTGTGCATGTAAGAGGTTTCAGTAATGCTCATTTCAGGAACATTTAGCAAACAGCAAGAACACAAGAACAGTGGAATACTCAAAGTATTGGCTCAGCCCTCTCTGAGCAGGTACTGTTACTCCCATCCTCTTGTGAAAAAGCTAAGAAGAATTAAGCAAAAGAGCTTGTAATAAAGTGAAAGGCCATTTACATTTTTCAGGTCACTGAGTGTGCACGTTAAAAGGCGTACACTCTCAGAATGAGAAAACAGGCTGGGACACCCGTGTTCCTGAAGTAGCTGCTGACTTCAGAAGAGTTGCACAAGACAGAAATGAGACTATATCCTGTTCACCATATTAGGCCAAGTTAGTAATGCATGAGGTCCCCTCACATTCAGCTTCCAATTTAGTCAGCATGAAGGTTAAATCACATCATATTAAGCCTGCCTTCAGTCCACCATGCTATCTCCTTCTTTGCCCTGCAAAACTGGCTTAGTTTAGCCTCTGCTCTAGTCCTAGGGACAGTTAATAGCACAGGCCAGCGTGGCTTGAAGCCCTGGGAGGAAAACTGGTCAACAAATCCAGTCCTTGGGCAAAATATTTTATCATTGCTAAAGCCCATTTGTGCAACAGGCTACTTGCAGGAGCTTCCTGCTTCAGGCAAGGTGTGATGGATGCTCAAGCAGAGATCTGAACTGACTTTGAGTAGTGATGAAGTCACACTAGCATTGTGTGCTTGCAAAACCTGGAAAGTAAAGGCTGCGTTAGGTAACGAACGCTGGTGTCTGTAAGTAGCTGATTTAAAGTTGCAGTCACGGTGGTGACCACGCTGCAGCCCCCTCACCTCCCTTGAGGACTCACCTATGCTCTGAAAAGACTCCTCAGGGAATTACCGACTGAAAGCTTGAAGTGCAAAGTGCTCTGAGCAATGAACACGTTAAAATGCTCTATGAGTAGGAGAGAGAAAGTAAAGAAATGAGAGAGACATTAGTCATAATTCAACATGCTGAGAAAAGTTATCTTGGCTCTTGATGAGGCAAAACATATGACCTCTAACAGAAATAGAATAGAAGTGGCCTAGGCAATAAGAACTGCTAGCATGAGAAAACCTTTTTGCATGTAATTGGTCAAAAGAGAATTTCCTATGGGTAGACACAACCAAAGCAGTATCTTTCAAACATCTGTTGGCAAACATATATTTGATGTTGAAACAGTGCAACATATACCTGTACATATATAAATGTTTTTCCTGCATGTCACCAGATTTAATAAAGGTGTGAGGCTCCAGGCTTGTGGCCTTTCCTGTTCCAATGCATCCCAGCTTCCCAGCAGAGGATAGCTGGTGCTGTTCCCTATTACAGTGCATTTTCAAGCACTGTAGTACTTGTGCTGGAACCCTGAGGAGAACCTGCTCCCACTGCTGGGTGATGAGTAAGAAATGGGGCACCTGAATCTGAGTCTTTGTTGTAAAACTAGAAATAGAGGGGGGATCACCTTTTGGGACTTCATGGCTCAGTCTAATGGAGAGGATCCGGTCTGAAAACAAACTTCTGCAAGGGAGGAAGTAAACTGGATGCCATTGTCTGTTCCAGTGCAAACGCAGATGTGTTTGCTGCCAGCAGACAAGGGCATCATTGTACAAACAGCATAGACACTCCCAAAGTAACTTCTGTTGTATCTGGAAAGGAGGGCAGCTGTGAGCCCAGAGATAGATAGCAGCTCCCATATCTGGTCACCATATGGCTTAGGCCAACGTCAGCCACAAGTGCATATACAGCACAGGCTCCCTCTGCTTTTATGCTTTAAAGGTGCAGGAAAAAGTCTTTTAACCAATGTATGTCAAAAGCTCACAAACTGATTTGAAAGCAAATCAAAATTCCACTGGAATGTTGAAAGATTCGTACCCTAGAAAAGACCATTTCCATGGCAAATACTATTTTCCCATTAAAGCCACTTGATAGGTACAGAAAATGTCAATATACCAGAAATTCTTCCTTGAGAAAAAGCTTTTTTATTTTCAATACCCCAGGGCTTAAAAATGGCCCAAGTACTTCTTGTTGGAAATCTTTGAAAAGCCAAACAAATTCAACTCTAAGTCAACAAAAAACTGTGGAAAAAAATGCCTGAAAAAATAAAGGTTTCAGAAATGTAGGAGTATATTAAAGCAGGAGCTAAAAAGTAATCTCCTTATGGTCTCATTCACCAGGATACAAGCAGAAATAATACATCTTTTGTGTCTATATATTTACATTGTATAAATGGACATATAAATAAATATGTATTTCTATTAAAAGTAGAGTGATTATCATAATTTTAGGCCTCTTAAAAGCTATCATGAATCCAATTTTTTACACTGCTATTATCTTAACTGTGACTCACCACTGAGATTAAGGAGTTTTCTTCTTATTTCTCCAGTTCATAACCCTAAGTGCTCTCTCTTAAGACAAATTTCTCCCACCCCACCTTACTCCTACTTCCCTGGCATACACATATCACATTTCCTCTGGTTGGATTAGTTTTGCAGTCCTTGCTCAAATAGTTCTTCTGGAGACAAAAGTTAAAAGTAAACTAGGCTGAGTTTAAAAGTAAACTAGCTTCGATTGCCCTGGCTTTGTTTTTATGTATGCTGTCCTAAATATCTATGCTCCTTGTAAATGCTTTGCTCTGATGAAGACTATGACAAATCCATAAAAAGCCATGTTTTTTATCTTGGGGCTGGGAAATATTTAACAGTTTCGGCCCTTAACAGATAATTAACTTCTAAATGACACATCTCATAACTTTGCTGGTATAAACAGAGAGGGCTCCGTGTGATCCTTTTCGGGACAGAACAGCAGAAGTTGCTGTTCCTGACATTTACAGTGTGAAGATTCTCAACACAAGTCATAGAAAATTGCTTTGATGTTATGAAGCGTCACGAGATTCTACATGTCTTGTCTTAAATTAAATGAACTCAAATTCCATTAGATATGCAGCTTTAAAAAATGCATGTGTTTCATATGACTATCTTCCAGATATTTAAAAAAAAAAGTTTAGTCGCTGAAAAAGAGTTCAAATTCACTGCAACTTCAGGAATTATAAATCAGTTAAATTAGTAATTTTTTGGTGAACTCTCATAACTAAATCCCAGAAGCTGATTTTGTTCACAATCAGGATATTTTCAAATTCTTTTTTTAATCTCATGCCATTAGGCAATCGATTGAACCTTATTTTATAGCAATGCTACCACTGTTGTTTCCTTTGTAGAGCTCTGTTACTCTTTGAACACATCTATAAGGTTTGAGAGAGTCTAGTCTTAGACAACAAAGATTGTTTTTATATTGACTTTTATTATAATTCTGCTTTCATTTGGCCATAACAAGCCAAACTCCAGAAATGAAAATTTTACAGGTGTGATCATAGGCAGAAAACTATGTGTATGAAAGTGTGAGCAAGCTCTTATCAAAGAGTTAACCTTCTTATTCTTCTCTTCCTCCCTTCTTGAAGATAAAGACATCAAACTTCCTTCTTCCTGTGATAAAATGCTATGCAAGTCTGTTGGGCAATTCAACTCTTGATACTCAGAAGATGGCAATTTTATATCAGTTTTACCTCATTATTTTGCTTCTTAATTATTATAATCATGTTTATTATAATTATGGCTACTTCAAATCCCCAGAACTGCCTTATTTGAAATGGAGAAGAGAAATAGGACAAGAACAAATGGCCTCAAGTTGCAGGAGGGAGGGTTTAGATTGGATATTAGGAAAAAGTTTTTCGTGACAAACCAAAAGGGTTGTCCAGTATTGAAACAGGCTGCCGAGGGAAGTGGTTGAGTCTCCTTTTCAAAGATATGCAGATGTGGCGCGAGGGGACATGGTTTAAGTGGTGGACTTGGCAGTGTTGGGTTAATGGTTGGACTTTTCCAACAGAAACCATTCTATGATTCTATAGACTCCTAATTTGATTATAGCAAAATAATCTGTCAAAGGGATAAATCAAAGGCCAGGAACAGGCCATTTCAAAAATGTAGTAGATGCAAAGTAATACATTCTTGATGGAGAGTTTTTAGGCAGAGGGGAAAAAAGAGCAAACTCAGTTTGCTTTTTCCAGAGTCAAATAAAGCCCATCCACCAGGACTGGAGAATGTCAGGATTGTCCTAAGCTGCCTCTACAGCATAAGAATAGATGAGGCTGCTCTATAAAGCACCGGATTAAAAAAAGTACAAGGTGATTGACTCATTCGTGGCCCATAGCCATACTCATACTTGCAAAATTGCCTCCGGCTGATGTTCTAGAACATTTACCACAGAAACAAAAGGTACTGTGGCAAACAAAGCTGTCCCTCAGGAGTCTTATACAATGAAAACAAAGCTGGAACATGCATATGCAAAGCAGTATTTGTAAAGAGTTACATCATTACACCTTTGCAATCACTCCAATTTTTGTGCCAAACTTTGCTGAAATTATGGAATAACTCAGAACTAAACTGAGTTCTTTTAAACAGATTATTGAAACTCTAAGTACCATGTCCAAATTATTATGGAGTTTGAGTTTGTTTTCATGAAAATGTCTTTTGTTTGCCTGTTTGCATGGAGTTCCCAGCACTCTTTGGTGGTGGCCTTGCCATAATTTTATATTCCTTTGAAGGCAGAAATGTTATACTGTAAAATACCCACAGCAGCTTAGACCACATTCACAACATTTTGACAGACATGGTTGTTTAATCCAGCTGGCTGAAGTCAAAGCAGGTAACATGATTTACCTAGGAGCCCCAGGTCTTAAGACCAGAAATTCATCCCTTGCTTGTCAATGTGCATGCAGAAAAGGGACATACACCTCTGTAGCTCCAGACTTACCTGAGCTAGTTTCTAGCTAGCTGGCTGAGGCACCTACAGTGACACAATCAGCCTCCACAGACCATCATATTATTTGCCCAGGCCCCAAATTCCACTTCCTGCTGAAGCTTTGTGCAGCTGTTCCTCAATCAACTGGATTATACCATCACATCTGCTGAGCAAGGCATGGACATGGTCTGAATTCCTATGGGCATTTCATGGTGCTGGGAGCATAATGCTGCTACCTGAACATGTAGAAAATGATGGCACCATCACCACAGGGGCCTGCTGGGCACTACTTCAAATTGGATAAACACAAGACCTTTACGCAGAAGGAAACCTGAACTCTGTTATAGTTTGGATATGATACTTGTAGTTTCAGTAATTTGAATATAGGAATCTGTCCAATTATAAAAAATCATGCAGTTGTAACAGTCAGTGGTCAGTGATGCTATCTGCACAGTGGGTAAATATGGCAAGAATTTCCTGTGGCCAGTATTTCTACTCTTTGATGACCTCATGATTTTTTTTTTTTGGTTAGTTGTTGCTGTTTCCTTTTTGACTCACTCCAAAAGGCACTGAAACATCACAGACTTATCACTCACACAGCAATAACTGCAACTGTCCTTAAACCAGTTTCTCAAACCTGGATCCAGAGCATCCCCTACCAGAAGGGTGCATGCTCTGCATCTTGTTAAGCTGAAGTCCCCCACTTTCTTCTGATGTGAACCATGGGATCCAGCCTTTCATTTGGGCTTCTGTAGACTAGATTGAGTCTGAGGGAAAGTGCCTGCAAAGCACTGGAGGTAATGCCACACCATGGGAAAATGAGGAAAGAAATGTATGTGTCCTGCAGTGTGGGAGACAATCAGCTATTAGCCACCATTCTTCTCAGCTGGGTGGAGGTTTTAATCCCTCCACCTCACCCTGGGCAGCCAGCAGATCATTTCACAGCAGTCATCTTTATAGCATCTACGTGAGCATGGTGGGGTGCCTTGTACTTCTGAACAGACATTTCGTTAATGTCTCTTTTCATGTCCTGATCAGACTATTGCAAAACCCCACACGCAGACTCCCCAAAATGAGTCATGTCTGCCGGCAGGGATGTCTGCAAGATGTCTCTGCACAGA